GGACGAGGACACCACTTTGAATGGGGAGTTGCCCGTGGTTGTGAAGTGGAGACCAGCTGGCCACAACTGGCCATTGTTTGGGGCAGAACGTGCCCGTCTTTGCTTTGCCCTCTGTTGCTCTGGGCCAAAAATGGTGTGCTACCCCTCAGGTCCACGCCCTGGTTCCGCCCTTCGTCATGCGAAATCATCCGCTCGAGGACGAGGCGAACCAGCTTCAGAACGCCGTCCCCCAGGGTTCCCAGGGCACGCAGGCAGCCAAGCAGCGCTTGGGCGAGCTACTGCCCTCCCTGCGGCTCGGCTCCAGCATCCATGTTGAGGGGAGATGGGGGTACCAGAAAACAGGTGAACGGTTGGCATGATCTAATTTTCCATTGTTGATGCCCTCCTGTGTGGCAGGTGGCTGGTGTCCACATGTGGCCATGTGGCTGGTCCTGCAGCTTTACAAACCCCTGTCCCTGGTGTCCCTGGGGCCCAGTGAAGCCTCCTGACTCAGTGAAGCCTCCTGACTCAGTCAACCCATATGGACAATGATGGGAAGGAGGCCCAGTGCCACCCACAGTTGTTGGCAAGAAGATGTAAGAAGATAAGGCTTTTCAGAGTTTGGATGCGAACCGGTGAAGACCTTCACTCTCTTTGTGGTTGATAAGGTCCATATTTGAGTTTTCATTTGTCTTCGTCGTTGGCGCACCTTTGCAAGTTGATGTTTAGGAATGATGTGATGTTGCACTTTCGCGATTGTTGAGCAAAGAGTGTTGAGCCTGTTGCTGCAGGTTGTGCTGATGTGTCTTCTTTCAGGGGCCTCCATGGTTCAGCATGATCACCGGTGTGGAATGGGTCGGTTTTCAGTGGACGATTTTACATGAATGAACATGATAGAATATAACCTGGATGAAGGAGAGCCTGTTCCAGGTCGTCACTCGTTTGATCCTCTCTCGCTTACTGATAAAAATGTAGAATTTAACTTTATCATACAGTAAATCAATTACTGTAATTGTATAGTCATCGTGGACTAGACAGAGTACGTGAAAGAAACAAGAAGCAGCAGGAACCTGGTCAACCTGGTCATGCTTTTGGATTGGTTCATGTTCTATTTGCTCCAGGATGGTTGTGATATATTGGCAGGTACCTAAATTTTAGTCAAAGACATATGCATGGCCTTCATGGGTATCGGTTCATCCTCTTATCCAAAGTTTGTGCCTGAGCTTTTTCTCAAAGGTATGCCATGGGGACACAGTGACACATGCTTTGATGACAGGAGGACAAGCAGGGAAAAACAGGCTATTTGTGTGATCCTGATGGCTCGAACCATGACCATCCTGACATGTTGTGCCAAATTTCATCTATGAATATGCCCTTGCTTTTGAATCCCCTTACTAATTTTGCCAAAGCTCAGGAATAGTATCCTGCAGATCTTCTCCCTGCCACAGCTGCCACAGGATGCCCAGGACGTGGGGCGGGTGAGCTTTGTGGTTTGGGCGTTTGGATGTTCTGCAACGGGGAAACAACATGCTGTCAGATGCCAACCCTTTGTTCAACATTCAGGACTAGCTGACGCTGAGCAAGCGCACTCTCAGGGGCCCCCAAAAATGTCTTTCTATGTCTTCTCAATCTGATGGACGACACAGCTCGTTGAAGTAGAGTCAAAACGCATGGCCTTTTCTCGAAGATCTTGAAGTGCATGTGCTTTTGCGGAATGGTTTGGGTTGTCTCCCGCATTCTGCATTCAGAAGTCCAGGAGTATGATTATGTGTTCCGGTCACTTTCAATGCCTCCTCTGTCTCGGTGGTTTCTTCATTGCTGTCGCTGGCCGCTGGTGACATGACATGGTTCGACCGTCACCGCGCAGGACACGGACATTCTGGCAGGCTTGAAATGCGTTTTGGCTCCTTTGTGCAAGATGGCGTGGCCGCGTTTTCGAAGGAAAAAGACTGGACAGCCGGGGCCGGATTCGTTGGAGAAGCGGCAGGATTCTTTGGAGTGCGACATGGAGTGTTCCATATTTGGTTCAGGTCCGGATTTCTTGCATGAAAGCTAGCCGCTAGCCACCAGTTGGGGTCGCCAGCTTTTCAAGACATTCCATCCGAACGACCAAGGGTGGAGGCATCCGTGATGATCATCCAGGTATACCATGCCTACCTCTCCTCCGCAGACCTGCCAAAACAAAACAGGCCAACACCTTCATAACCTGTCTTGGTTTGTCCTATTGCCAGTGACAGTCAGTAAACAACTGTCACATAATATTTGAACAAGGCCCTTACGAACCATAATCATCCACTGCTACTGTTAATGGGATAGACCCAAACCTTGCAAAACTACCAAACAAACACGATGAACACATGATAGCAGAACATAGGACAGCACACACACACACACAAGCGCACAAAACCAAAGCAAGCAAGCAAGCAAGCAAGCAAGCAAATAAACAACGAACCCGACCCAAAAAGAGCCCCAAAAAGACCTATCCTTTGGATGCTCCACTCCGCTGACGGGGGGAGCTCGCGCAGATGCCACGCGGCGTTCGTGCGTTTCGTGCGCAGTGAGGGCGTTCGGTGGATCTCCAAGGTTCGGGTCTCGCCCACCAGCGCGGACGAACCCACCTTGGATCTGCAGAAACTGCCCTTGGGCGTTGATGTGGCAGATCCCGAGGTGGGGAGACAGGGTGAGGTCCCAGTGCAGGGTTTTGAAGTGTTTTAGTTGGGGGTGAGGTTAAAGACATGTTTAAGACCATATATTGGAAGAACCCAGGCTGGTGGGTTCGTGTGTCGACTTGATGCTTGTTGACTTTAATCGCTTTAATTAAATTCGTATTATATATATAATATGTTTAATTTTACCTACTATATTATTAATGCACTATCCAATATGTGAGTATCATAATGCAAATGGCAGTTTTTACATTTTAATCATTTAAATTTAATAGTTATTTGATTGGATTTTTTCCTGTAAAGACTCTTTGGAATTTGGATCATCTCATGATGGGAGCCAGGGAGGCCCTTGGATGTCAAGCCTTGCATGCCACCAGCTGGGAACGACCAGTGTAACAATCCCAACCAACAGCATTTGCTAAATCTGTGAATCCAGATTCAAATAGGTTGCAACTGCAGCATGCTCGTCATGGCATTGATGAGTCATGTCATGTAATTAGATGTACAATTAGATCGGTTCTGTTATATAGGAACGCTCGAAACCTCGCAGGTTAGCCCATGAAAAACACCACTTGCGATGTGTTCAATCTTACGAGCATTTTTTCAGTGGCTTTCCAGCCACCTCACCCGTTGGATGTTTTAAGACCCGCGGCCAGGGTTCCTTCGGCGGCTCGGCGGAGAAATCGGCGGCCATGTAGTGTAGGCCCCCTTCTCCTTTGGCCGCTCCGCGGTCAGGTGAGAAAAGCGGTGGCGGTCTTGAGGCTTCTTCATGGATTGGAGTTGCAGCAGCTTCAGGCGAGGCGAGCGGCAGCTGGGACCAGGTTGGTGGTGACCGGCAGCTGGGACTGTCCTGTCCCTATACTATACATACTATACGCAGGTCGTCAGATGCTGTCAGCGTGCTGCCCCAACCGAGTGCAACATGGACTTTAAGATTCTGGGGTGAATGCGGTGTCATGTTTCATCCTCAGTCTTCCATCACCATGCCAGACATCACCAGGCCGGCCGTGAAAGACCGACCGTGAGCTCTGAAAGACGGTGGGGACTGACGGCTGCCAGGTGAATATCAACACCGTCATCAATGAGCTGCAGCAGTTGACGGCCAACCCGCAGACAGACTCCAGATTGGGCCGTGTGGGCCGGTGAAGGGAGCAGCACGCGGCTCGAAGCAAGAACGTGCAAGATTACGATTAACCATAGATGTTCTCAACCGCCAAAGGAGCTGCAAACCCAATTTCAAAAAGAGCAAGTTAATTTCAGGACTTGGGCCAAAAGCTACATAAGACCATCTGCAAAAGCGATAGGCCTTGCATATGCTTGAAGCATCTTCAGCTCCCGGGGTCAGTCCCAGCAGTGAGGGAAACAGTCCAGCAGTCACGTAGATCAGGGCAAGGGTTCCGACATTCCCGGAAGCCGGGCTTGCGGAGCTGCTCCTCCCGTTGGGATGGTCCTCTTTTGGCCGGTTAGACGGAGGCAGCGGCGGTCCAAACTGTCCGAACCCAACCGCGAAAAGAGATTCGCGTTGTAAGAGATATTTGCATTATTGCGTAGTTGGAATTGGAACCCAACAGGATCATTTCGGACCCTTGAAGAGCAATGATATTTGAAATGAAACTGCCCGAACCCAATACGGTGCGACAACGCATTCGGAGCTCCGGAAATGCATTCGGCGATGACCGGAAAAAGGACGCGCCGGGAGGGTGGGCAGGTTTGAGGCGAGGTAGTTTTCGAGCATTCCACTGGGCACATGGCAAACACATGCAAACACTAGATATCAGACTGACAGACACCTACATCACCTACACACATGACAAGTCCTCGCTTCTGAAATCGATCGTTGGAAGTATCGAGACCGACCCACTGTGGGCGACGCACGTTGGATCGTTGTTGGGTTACTTGGAAGCCTTACAGATCGCCGAATGGATAGGTAGACTCGAGCTGACCCATTTGGGGAGCCAGAGTTTCTCACCGCGTGTGTTCTATGCTGGTCAGTTGGCTCCTCATGCGCCAGTGTTTCCTTTTGTGGGAGCCTTTTACTTCCTGCTTGGTGAAATGAAAAATGTCGTCACGGTCAAATATTCAACACTACACTGCACTACATGATACAGAATTTTCATATATTCAACTTGATATAGTACTGATTTATACTGTATTGATCTATATTGGTTAAACATAGCAATATATTTATGTATATTCAACCATGTTCAACCTATATATCTGTACTTATTGGCTATATCATAAATTACGGATAATACTGTATATATATAGTCATATAGTATCCATGGTTTAAGTGGTTGTGTTATGGGGCAGGCCCCCAATCACCAACTCCACTCCTTTCCCCGGGCGCGACGGCAGGCGCGCGCCGCGCCGTTGGTGCCGGATGTCCGGCGCTTCAGATGTCCCCCATGGACCCCCCCAACCAGGTGTGACAGTGTCATGGAGTGTTGGGGCTACTTACTTGACTGCTGCTGCAATGCTTTAACCACATATATGATGACATTCTTGGCTTTGACATGCTTTGACATCACCCAGGTGGTGTACTCACCCAGGGGTTTGCAGACAGAAACTGACAGAGGGCCGCTTTCGCAACCGAGTGGGTCTTAAGGCCAAAAGATGTCGTTCTGGTTCAAACATGTTTCACCCCCGCTTTGTCATGGTCAACGGCGTTGGAGATCCTCCCGGTGTGTTTCCCGTGCCGGGAGGATCTACTCGGGCACACGGACACGACCTTGACGGGTTGAACAGTTTCGTGTGCGTGAGCATTTGGGCAGCCCAAATGAATATATGGATGTCAAAGAAGTAGAAGCTAGAATGAAGATATGCCAAAGATACGTACAAGTCTAAGTATTCCTGGGTTCTTACTTGCTGTACATCGAACAGCACTGGCAGTCTAGTTGGGGTCCGCCCACAAAATGTTGCATGCTGCCACAAAGGTGGATGACACCTTTGCATATCGATGCATATCGCATTCGAACTTCCAAGGGGCGGGTTTCCCCACTGAACAAGAATCAAAAGCAACAGGAAAAAGCAAACCTTCACCCTGCCTCTATTAAAAAAGCAAGAACCTGAGGGTACCAGAGTGCTCTCTTTCTCGTCCCCTTCCTTCCTTGGACCCCGGGCTGGCGCCCGGGGGGGCCGGACCCCTCCGCCGCTGGGACCGACTCAGGTCGTCTCGCTCACCGCCAGCGTCACGGGGCTCAAGAAGTGCCGCGGTCCCTGGGGCCCGGAGGCCCAGGTCGGCGCTGAAGACGCGGAGCTGAAGAACGAGGTCATCCACCGGAAGACACGAGGCCATCCAAGGCATGTGGACGACCTGTACAAAAAATCGGATCAGGAATCAGGACTTGATTGGGAGGGTTTCAATGACAGGCCTTTGATGCCTATGGGAGCCTCTGGGAGGGAGAGAGGGAGTGCAACATCGTGCAATGACCAGATGAGTGGCAGTGCAACTTCTGATGTTTAGCCTCCCTTACCAGAATCAACATGCAGCAGCCCAGCCTCAGTGACGGGACAACGCTGCACATCCCTGGACGCCCACTTTGTGGGTGCTTTTTTTAAAAATGCGTTTGGCATGCGGTAGGCTCATCCAGAATAATCCATGGCCTGCGACTCAAGTTTCAATTACACTCCATGAAATCATCATGGAAGTGGATGGCATTCGGATGACCGTTTTCCTCTAAAAACAGGTGGTGCCATCCAGTTGAGTGTTCCCCATCCTGCCAATCCACTGGGTAGAACTCCATGTCTTTGAATGTCAGGCCATGCCATCGCGCCAGGGGCCCAGGCATCACGCCAGAGGCCGCGTCGCCAACATTTCACATCTATAGGTGCACCAAGTGGTGCACCAATACAATAGATTTCTGGAATGTTCTGGAGGAAGATAGTGCAACAATGCTGATATGGTCTTTGTTAATTTTTGTAATTCTAAAGTGGGCCCACACATCTCCAATGCACTGTGCAAGTAAAGGGCTGCACTACAGCATGTTGAGGGGAAAAATGGCAGCCCAAACCCATTGGTGGACCAAATGGACACCTGCCGGTTCCTGAATCATGCGGCCAAACCTACAGTTTGCAAATCAATCCTCTTGCGAACCCACATGGATGAACGATTGCATATGCCTGCCAGTACAAGCACTTGTGTTAAGTCGTCTGGTCTTGTAGAAAGTCGTCTGGATGTTGCGTTTCCATTGGGGTTAGATGCAAGATGGCAATATAACTGGAAGAGCATTAGGTCAACAACATTGTTTCCTTTAGTGATCTTTTCCACATGAAGGTCATCAATGCACAGCTCTTGAAGAGCAAAGCAAGCAGGGCAGCATGCTGCATCTATGTTTAGGGGGTAATCATCACGATAGTCCTAACCTTGCGTTCTGATTGGGGTTCGGTCACCAAAACGCTGCAAACTTCGACATAAAACTAGTTCTTTCCCTGCACAGGGGCAGTGAATTCTTCATGTATAGCAGTTTTGACAAACATACTTCCGTAGAGCGTTTACATTGTGTGTTGACATAAAACGGGTGACTTTTCGCGAGCCGGGTGACTTTTGACTAATGCTGCGTTTCCATGCGGCCGGGTGACTTTCTGCAAATTCGGGTGACTAAACCCCAGCGCTAGTAATCTATACAGAACTTAAAAGCTGAAGCGCTTTGTGTGTCACGGATGGTTGGCCCGTCGGCAGAAAGCATCTTCGAGCACAAGCACGCTAGGTCGCTAGGTTTGAGGTAAACTCAAAGGTCGTGGCTTTTGGTGAGCCATTGGCGATTGGCATGGCAAAGCAAGATGATCAATGCGTGTGTTGTCATTTTAGATCAGTATTTCAATTTCTATCATCCAAGTGTTTCCAACCTTTGAGTGCATGAGTGAGTGTTTGTCAAAGTGTTAGTCACAAAAAGGTGATCTCATTATCCCATTAACGTCTTTGAAAGATATTCTTGGTAATGGTGCTTCAGTTCCTTTCGTCCTTGATCTAGGCACTTCTTCCTCCGCTTTCATCTCCGCAGAAACCTGGGCTCGAGCGCACGCGATTTCCCCGCGGCAAACCGTCCGCGGCATTCCGAGCCGCAAAAACACGAGCGTGGCCCACGACATGTGGATCTGGTGGCTGTGCCTTTCGTCACAGACCTGGGCTGCTTTGGGTGGATCCTGGTCACAGCTCGCGGTGACGAGCGAGACTCAGCCGGCGGGGCGATTTCAGCACGTGGCAGTCTGGGATGTGTCGAGCATGCTGATTTTTGGTGGGAAGATTCTGCTGGAAACGCAGGAGGCTGCCGCGGACGACCTGTGGGAATTTTCACCCGTGACCGGTAGCTCCTTGGCGAAGGTCGCATCATGCGGATGTGAAGGTGCCTCCAACCTAATTAATGACCTATATAGCTACGGCCTCCAACCTAATAGCGATGGCCTCCAACCTAATAGGTGATAGGATGTGATAGGAAGTAGCCATGGTGACCCATGATGAAGTTCCAACCTTAGATGGGTGGTCACTTGTCGCAGGATGTCAATTGATCTCGCGCGCCAACCAGTTGGAAGAGACCAGACTCTGAGTTGTGGTTGCAGAAGCCAGCCAACCATTGGACCATCCCAGTCTGAACCACAGATACCGGCCATAACAGATCACAAGGTGCTGAGTGATGTACCAAACGGCACAAGTCCCGGCAATGGAAACAGTGCAACAAGCTGATCATAACCATCGTGGTGATTGGCCAAACCAATGGGTGTCAGTGCCAGTCTTTGAAAAAGCCGACCGTCCCTCCCTCCCTCCCTCCCTCCCTCCCTCCCACAATCATGGAAGCGGACGCCCCCCCTTGCAGAAAAAAACATGAGACCACGATAGAGGCTAAATGTTGTAGGGAGCTCCCAGTGTTAAGATGGGGAACCCCTTGTTCTGGTCATTTCCTGCTCAAATCCATCCTTTCACCACCCAGAACCTCCTTGTCGCGACAGCCTGTCTTGCCGGATTTCCCCCCTCTGTGGTCACTGGTCTCATCCCGAGACTCCTACAGCTCCTTTTGTCACCACCCGAAAAGGATAAAACATACCCACCCTATCGAAACCTTTGCTGCCGCAGTGCGTCATCCAGTGCCATGTTTGATGAGACACAATGACAACACCAAAAACAAGCACAGACAATCCAACAACATCCAATCATTAAAGACGCAAGCAATGGCACATCACATACACCACAGAATGACAACACCAAGACAGTGCACAAGGATACACAAGGACACACACTACAACAGACGGCAAACCATGACATTCAACAACGGCAACACGAAACACAATCACGACACGTGTAATATTCAGATATCCAGACGAGCGGCCAGTGGTTTTGCCCAAAGAACTTGACTACTCTGCTCACAGTTTTAGGAGTCTCCCCAGGCTGGCTGGAACTGAATCCCTTGCTTGATCCCGCTGGTGAGCCTCCAGCAGCCACTTATCAAGCAGCGGCCGCCATGAACAATGTTCAAGAGATGCCTGGTTTTGCCTATAGGTTGATTTTATATGATGTTGTTTTTATGTATACGATTCTTCCCTTAGCTAGATCCTTTTGTATGTCGGAGAAATGCAAACAAGTTTCCAGTTCCTAGAACAGCAGTTTTCCCAAGGATGGCTTTGGTGGGCGGACAGTTGCAGAATGCCTTTCTGTACAGCGCTGCAGGGATGGAGTGGTACAACATGTCCATGGTGCCACGGAGGGAAACGCCCGACGTGCCACGCGCGACGTGGGCGGGACGTTTGTTTGCCGGGCTGCGCGTTTGGTTTTCCAGCTGCAGAAAGAGGGCAGAGCGAGAAGGTAAAAGGCAGACAGTGACAAGATCACACAACAAATTGCCAAAAGAACAACATTTGTAATAGGGCGGAGCTTGGCTAACTTTATTTCGGACCCCTTTATTAATCATAGGTCGACATGCTTTCGGGCACGAGGTTACATGTGTTCGATGCACTTTTGAACGGCTTGGCCGTTACAGTCGATGCTCCGGCGGTGTGGTCTTGGAACCGGATGTCCTCGTACTCGTACCTCCCGCTGATCCTGGTGGGACGCACGTGTTGGGCACACTGGGGAAACCCACTGGTTGAACTGCCCCAGGAATGGCAACTCCTGGTCTAAACGGTTGGCTGTGGCTGAAGAAATCAAGAAATCTCATGACTCATGACCCACAGGTTTTGGCCTTGGCTGAAGACGCTTGAGCCACTGCCCTTTTGCACCCGGCTCGAAGCTCGTGCCGTCCAGCTAAGGACATTCAGGTCAGGCAACATTCCATGGTGTATGATGACCTCTATGATCAATTGCCCTTTGGACGACGAAACATGCGGAAACGGGATGACACGGGGCCTCCAGTATGCCTCCAGTATAGTGCCAAAGAATGCCAGAAGACCATGAACGAGAACATACCATACTTGGTACGGCTGTTCCGGTTGAGAAGGAATGCGCCCAACTGCAGTTTCAAAGAAGAAATAGGTTTCGACTGTCCTGATGAGAACCATTGAACGAAAAGAAGCGGGTTGTTCCAGAGGTTTCCACCGACCCTAGGCCACAGGTGTATGATGTTCATTGATTTTCTAGTTGCCTTACTAGACTTAGAGGGAAATATGATTCTATGGTCTGAACATGTCTGAACCCATGGTCAGGATCCTTTCCGCCAGCTGCTGGGGCCCAGGTTCATGAGTATGTTTCACACACTCGGAATGTTTTCTGACTTCATGTGCTGTTTCACGAGACTCGAAAGTGCGTTTGTCAGACTCCCTGACATGGGGGAACATGCAAAAATGCTCTACCTGCACACATGTTCATGTTCGTTCTTTTCTGGATGAACCGTTGGACTCAATGAGGACCAGGAATTGAACCTATCCATCGATTTATATGCGTTCTCTTCACATTTGATACGGCCTTCTTAGGAACTCAAGCAGCCAGTAGTCAGCAATCGTAGGAGTTTGGGGTTAGTTTGCCCATCCAACTGGCCGTGTTTGCATCATCCCATGGGAGCTGTGCCGCCGATCGGAAGTGTTTGGCCTACGTCACAAGCCATGCCTTGTAGTCACAAGCCATGCCTTGTACAAGCCATGCCTTGTACATCACACCCATGTTCTGGCTAAAGGATCCATGAATTTCGATCCTCTGGGCCGCTGGGCCGGACTCTGCCAAAATGGCCGCTAGTGGACCCGGACTCCCGCCGTCGGAGGCTGGTCTTTGGAGGCTATGTGTCGTACCTAGGGGGGACCGAGCAGATCAGCCAGGCAATCTATGCGACCTGGCGGAAAGTTCCAGAGTCCACGACCCAAGAAACCTGAGGAATCTCTATTTTGGACCACTCACCGCCCAAAATATGGTCAAACTTCCTAGGGTTCTAGTAGTAGGTGTATATATATATATATAAAACATAAATATAGATGTAAATAAAATTATATATATATAATATGACTGTTGTAAAGATTCTGTTAGACCCAAAGCAAAGTGTGACAAGATGAGCCGAACAATGTACTGAAACATGCTGCGTGTTGTACTGGTCTGACTTATGTTTGGCACACAGCCTACTTGAGAACCCAGAGCCTCAATGCAGAGCCAACTTTTTCCTGTTCAAGCTCAACACCTAGCCAACGAGCTCAAAGACTAGCCAACTTACCCACCACGTTAACCAGAATATCTCGCCACTGGACACTGCCATATCCCACGTTCGCCAACTCGCTCGCTAACTAGGTTGGGCCAGCTTCATCTCAAGACTGCACTGCCTAATACAGTAGTCGCGGGCGACTACCCAGCGACTACTGGTAAC